TTTTCTGGTCAAGTCCCATCTGAAGTCTCACACTTGTCCAAGTTGACATACCTTGATCTGTGTTGTAATGTTATTGAAAATGGAACCCCTGGTCATCCTGATCGATTGTTGAAACTTCAACCATCCGATATGAGAAGTCTGGTTCAAAATTTAACTAGTCTAGAAACTCTTTGTCTCAGTTATATTAACATATCATCGATCATACCCGTTTCCGTGACAAATTTATCATTTTTAACGTCCCTTTACCTCAGGGAATGTGATCTGTTCGGCGAATTTCCAGTGAAAATTTTCAGTCTACAGAACTTAGAAGTTCTTAGTGTGAGATACAACCAAGATCTCACTGGATATTTGCCCAAATTTAATCGAAGTAGTCCTCTCGTCTTACTGAAAGTTGGGTTTACTAGTTTTTTCGGAACCATACCTTCTTCGATTGAAAAGCTTAATTCATTGCAAGAGTTGGATGTCGCTCAATGCAATTTTTCAAACTCGTTGGTTCCTTCTGCACTTGGCAATCTTACACAGCTCACTTACCTAGACATTTCAAAAAGCAATTTTGGAGGTCCAATTCCTGATTCTTTGGCAAACCTTACCCAATTGACTGTGTTTAGAGTTAGTACGAGTTCTTTAACTGGTCCAATTCCATCTTGGCTAGGTAACTTTAGCAAACTAGTTTACCTAGATTTTGCTTTTAATAATTTGATGGGTTCAATTCCTGCCTCATTTTCCAATCTCACCAATCTCGAGATCCTTTATCTACAGTCAAATAACCTAAGCGGTGTAGTGGAGTTTCAAATGTTTCATAAGGCACAAAATCTCTACCAGCTCCAATTGAGTTGGAACAACTTTGAATTTGTTACTGGATCCAATATTATGAACGCAACTCTTCGACAGTTCACCGTTTTGGCTTTGAGTTCGTGCAATTTAAAAGAGTTCCCATATTTCCTACAAAATCAGACAAATTTGGAGCGGTTGGATCTGGCAGGCAACAAAATCGGTGGCGAAGTACCAAACTGGATGTGGAACAATAGCATGGAAACTCTGGTACTCCTGGACATTTCTGGAAACTTATTTTCAGGAGAACTTCCAGCTGTCATACCCTGGGTTAACCTAATATGCTTGAGGCTTTCGGTCAACACTTTTCATGGACGATTACCGATCCCTCCACCATCCCTGGTGGAATATGGAGCTGACAACAACAATTTTACTGGAAAAATTTCACCATTGCTTTGCAATATGAGTTCTCTTCGGTTCCTTGACTTGTCGAAAAATAACTTGAGTGGCATGCTTCCTCAGTGTCTCGGAAACTTTAGTGATGGTCTAATGCTTTTACTTCTTGGAAGCAACTCTTTTCATGGCATGATGCCTCAATCATACAACAACAGAAGCGATTTGAGGATGATTGATGTTAGTCATAACCAATTGCAGGGTCAACTACCGAGGTCATTGGCGAATTGTGTGAGGCTTGAGTATCTGGTTCTGTCAGACAATCAATTCAGTGATGTTTTCCCCATTTGGTTGGGGACTCTCCCAGAGTTAAAACTTTTGGCAATGCGCCATAATCGCTTCAATAGTGTAATAGGACAGTCTAGAACAAATGTTGACTTCCCCAAGTTACGCATTCTTGATTTGTCTTACAACAGTTTCAAAGGTGAGATTCCACCTTTGTTTCCAGATATTATTGTAAATAAGTCAACATACATGTATACACAAGTAGCCTATGACTTCAATGGTTTTTATGTTGGGCGGAGTGTTGATTACTCAATCACATTAGCAATTAAAGGTTTGGATTTGTTCTATTCAAGGGTTCGAGAAGGGTTTGCAGCCATTGATATCTCAAACAACAAATTTGAAGGTAAGATTCCAGAATTCACTGGGAACCTTAAAGAGCTTCGCTCACTCAATATTTCCAGCAACATTCTCACTGGTTCTATTCCATCATCCTTGGGGAACTTAAGGAATCTTGAATCGTTGGACCTTTCATACAACAAGCTCTCAGGACAGATCCCCCAACAATTGACGAGGCTTACATTCCTTGGGAACTTTGATGTGTCTCACAACAATCTCACAGGTCCTATACCGCAAGGTACCCAACTTACTTCATTGAATAGCACTTCATATGAGGGAAACCCAGGATTGTGTGGAGATCCATTACCAAAATGCGGAAATCAAGAGGCCCCTCAACCGCCACCTTCAACTAAAGAAGACAGTGATTCAGGCTCAGCTCAAACGCTTGAATTTGATTTGAAATTTTGTTTGGCTGGAATTGGAAGTGGGTTTGTAGTGGGAGTGGTTCTCGCGGATGTCGCCATCACAAGAAGGCAGGAGTTGTTTCTTAAGATCGTTGGAATGGTGAGGCTAATGATATGGAAAAGGTAGAGTTGGGGATGCAGAAATTCAGTGTGTGATAAAGTCAAGCATTTGGAATAGTTTTCTTGTTTTTTCTTCCTTCTCCTTCCATGTAACCATGCTCTATCTTTGGAGTTGTCCTGTGGGTAGAGTGGGGGATGCAGAAGTATAGTTTGTTATAAGGTCATGCATTTGGAGTTGCTTCCTTGTTTTTCCTTCATTCGCGTAACCTTGCTCTGTCTTTCTAATTAATGCAAATAAAGGTGTATTTGGATTTTCTGCATTCATAATGTAATAAAATGATTTTAATCATTAATTGAGCACAGAGTACATTGGATGAAATGAAATTGAAGCTTTCCAAAGCTTCAAATGAAATCAAATAATAAAATAATACATTTAATGTTATATTATAATTCTAAATTGTTAATGAGGACAAAATTATCATGAAAAATGTGCATTTAATGCTAGTCCGTTTCCCAAAGAGAGGAGGAGGGTTACATTTTCCCCCTTATTTTCCCATGTGTCAAACAACCATTTCTCATGCATGGACTTACCAAACATGCCCCAGGCCTCCTTTCCCATGAACCAAATGCAGCCTTGCCCTCAACAGGCTCTATACTGATACCCCAAAGATGAAAATTTTTATGATGATTAAGTGTCTCTCTCTCCCGTTCCCTTCGATACCCTCTCGCTTTCAACCCTCTTTTTCTTCTTTTTTTTCTTTTTGGTCTGAATCAATCCCCCCTTGCCATTTTAATTCTCTCTCTCTCTCTCTCTCTCTCTCTCTCTCTCTCTCTCTCCAAATCAAGCTCTTTTTCTGTTTTCCTGGTTCAACACTTATCTAATTTCGGTGGCTGGCTGGTCAATTTTCAGGAGGTAATTGGCTGGTCAATTTAAGTATTTTTATGTTTTTAACTTAAATTTTGTGAAGATGCAAGTTAAAAACTATTGATTAACTGAATTGAATGACTAAAATCAAGCTTATATAGTGCAAAAAGTCAAGGGAAATTACCATAATTAAACCCCAATTAATTCACTTGAAGTCCAGAGCACATGGTGACGTGCATGTTTGATATAAGGCCCCTTGAAGACGTGACTTCGGAAATTCACACTTGGTCTCATATTCGCAGCACCAAAATTCAATATGGCAAATTGACTTGGAGTTTCTTGGTCTTTTTAATTGGAAATATCACGAATTGCATTTATATATGTAATTTAGAGGAACCATTTTTTCCTTTGCTTCGGATTGACAACAGTGGTTCTTACTTTCAAGGATGGAATTTTCTGTGATCGTGAGTTCTTGACTTTAGCCATTTGCAGTGTGAACACACTATGCCCCGAGTTTATTATTATTATTATTAATTTCCAATCACTTCTTTATTGATCAAAATGTCAAAAAATATTGTCTCTTGATGAAGATGGTTAACTTGGAGTAATATTAAGTAGTTATTTATTTACTATATACAAGTACGTCTCAGAATATTTTTGTCCCAATCCGCACACCTAGTTTGAAAATGTTGGAATTTAAGGAGGTGTGAGTTTTTGTGACGCTCTGATACCATGGTTTGGTTATGTGATGAAGGAGTTTAGGACAATAAGACAATAGTTGAAACAAAGTGATTTCATTACATTGGAGGAGAATAGTACAAAGTGATTTTATTTCATTTATGATTTCAGAACCACCATAACAAAAAAGGCGTGAGGAGATACTACCCAAAGATTCAAGAAGATTTTACATCCGTTGATCTCTCAAGCAACAAATTCAAAGGGAATATTTCTGAGTTCATTGGGAACCTAAAGGGACTCCGATCGCTCAATGTTTCCAACAACACTCTGGTTGCATCCCATCATCTTTGGGGAACTTAACACTGCTTGAATCGTTGGACCTTTCACAAAACAAGCTCTCAGGAGAGATCCCTCAACAACACACCCACCTTACTTCATTCGACATTACTTCGTATGAGCAAAACCCGGGGCTGTGTGGTGATCCATTGCCAGAGAAATGTGGAAATACTGAGGCCCCTCAATTGCTACCTTCCTCTGTAGAAGAAGATGATTCAAGCTCTGGAATTGAATTTGATTGGAAATTTGTTTTGGCTGGATTTGGAAGTGGGTTGGTACATGTGCAAGAGGTGCAGAGATTGGTACCAAGGAAGAGAAGGCAACAAGTCTTAAAGTCAAGGAGCCAACTCCACATAATGCAGCTGCAGGTTTGCTCAAGAGATGTTGGGCAAGGAAAGTTAGTCAAGGTTATGTGACTAACAAGTTATCATCAAAGGTGCTTGATTTCAAAGGTGCAGAAAGTGAAGTCAAGACAAGGGATGAGGAGGAGGATGTTGTTGAAGGGAAACTTCTTGCCAAGGTGGTCATGGAAGGGACTCCATTTGAGGTGGAGCTTGACACAAGGGCTGAAGAAGGAGGGCAACAACAGCAAACTCACAAAGGGGTTCTACTTGAGGTAGAGCCATCATCAAGTGCAAGGTCCGAGCCCAAGGAATCCATCAAACCGTCCCTAGGTTTTGGATGGATGGACCAAGAAGTTCCAGCCACGTTTCGGAGTGCTAGAGGGAGCATGAAGCGGGAAAGTTGGAGAGGTGCATTGATGAAAAGAAAGGTGTTCTTAAATCCAAGAGCAAGGAGTGCTAAGTGGGGATTTAGTGAACAAAGGTTTGGTCTGTGGTTTGCATATCAAGGGAAGTCCAAGATTCAAGTTTCCAAGGAGGCAAGGAGAAACGAATTTGGCAAGGGGGATCTCTTTTCTGCAAAAGAGGTCAAGGTTATTCAAGTCTAGACTTGGTGGAGCACCTTCCACCAAAGGTGCATTAAGGCAAGAGGTGTATTGCCATGGTGGAGTTCTTGGAAATTACTAGAACGATTTCTAAGAGGATTGGAGATGTTCTAGAGGTCAACAATGGTTCACAGGGGTGATTAAATGGTTCGCCAAGGTGGAGATTGTTGGAAATTGGCTCACATTTGGTATGCAAGTGAAGCAGATTCAGCAGAGTCGAAGAACTGGACGCAGCAGGCGACCGGTCGCCAGGTTGTAGCGACCGGTCTCTTTTAGGCAGAGTCTTCGGCGACTGGTCGTCAGTGTCGAGCGACCGGTCGCCAGTTTGCTGTGCTGTCTTGGTTCCCCACGTGTTTTCAAGTATTTTCTCATGTGCTATCGCTTTCCACCGAATTGCAAGGACCCTAGGGGTCATTTCTGAGTCAGAAGAAGGTTGGCAAGTTGATGGAAAGTGGAAGAGCAAATTAAGGAATCATGTTGGCTTGTTTCAAAGAGTACCTACCCTAATGATGTTGGTAGGGTGGCTGAAGTTGCAGCTGTTATTGACTAGCCTTTGGTCTGCCCAAGTTGTGGTCCAAGTCAGGTATCCAAGGGCAGAACGTGGGAGGAAAAGAAGGAGTCTTTTCTCAAATCCAAAGGCTTGTCTATTAAAGGGAAGAGGAAGCAAGATAGCATGAGTGTGGTTAATCTCAAAGTGGTCAAGTAGCTGGGAGCTATTGTGTTCAAGGGAGGTTAACTCACCAAGGGAGAACGTGAGAGAGAGCAATCAGTTCAAGTTAGAGCTGAGTTGTAGTCTTGAGAGTCTAGACACAAAGGGGGGAAACACCAAGGGTTGTGAGAGTGTTCACAAGTGCATCAAAGTGCTGAGCAAAGGGGTGAGAGAGAAAAGAGAGCTTGGGGAGAGAGTAAAGTTCTAAGGGGGTTTCTGTGTAAACCAAAGTTGTAACTTATTCTTTCATTAGTGAATTTCTCAAGGGGATCACCAAGAGGAGTAGGCAATTGCTGAACCTCTATAAATTCTTGTGTCACTTTGTGCTCGGTTAGTTTTGTGCAAGTGTGTGTGTGTGATTCATCCATATTTGTGTTTGTCACAAAGTCCATCAACAACAAGATCATTAGGGGAGGGTGAGTTGAGTTTTGTGCTCAATTTCACCAACAATCTTCTCTGTACACCTTAGTTTTCTGTCTTCGCTTTGACTTGGAGTTATGATAATATAGCATCAGTTATGATGAAGTAATGCAAATGAGATTTCAGAATGCTTCATGTATTCCTTGTCCTATGTTATCACAAATGCAATAAGATCATCTACCTTTTTTTTTTTTCTTTGCATTTACACTTTTTTATTAATCAGTTTGTGAGTTGTTGACTTTAGTCACCTTATGCCAGTCCATAAATAGATACTTGACACGTGTATTATCCTATCACTTCTATATTGATCAAAATGTCAAATAATATTAAATAGTTACTTGACACATGTACGCTATTGCTCTACCATTTGATCATGCCAGTCTATAAATAGATAGCTCTCTAGCTTTAACTTTCATAGATGATTTTTTAGCAAAGAGTGCAAACAAAAAATATCAAAACATTATGGGGATTCACCTGTCGATTCGCATGCTCTCGAAACTACTAGTTCTGTTGTTGTTTCATCTTGTGGTTGCAAATTTTGTAGACTCTTTGCAGCAGCTATCTTGCCATACCGAGGAGAGCTCTGCCTTGTTGCAGTTCAAGGAGAGCTTTATGATTGACAAATCTGCTTCACGTTCTAAAGGTGCTTATCCAAAGGTTTCATCATGGAAACCAGCTGGAGGAGGAAATAGCAGCTGCTGCTCGTGGGACGACGTGGACTATGACGAGAAAACGGGTCATGTTATTGGCCTTAATCTCAGCAGCAGTTATCTCTATGGCTCTTTGGACTCCAATAGTAGCCTGTTCAGCCTGGTGCATCTTCAAAGGTTAAGCCTCTCTTACAATAACTTCAATCACTCTCAAATTCCATCTAGCATAAGAAATTTTCGAAGCCTCACTCATCTTGACCTCTCTGCCTCTTTCTTTTCTGGTCAAGTCTCATCTCAAGTCTCACACTTGTCCAAGTTGACATACCTTAATCTGTGTTGCAATATTCTTGAAAATGAAACTTCTCCTAACAATCCTCAGCGATTATTGAAACTTCAACCATCCGATATGAGAAGTCTGGTTCAAAATTTAACTAGTCTAGAAACTCTTTATCTCAGTTTCATTAACATATCATCGATCATACCCGTTTCCTTGACAAATTTATCATTTTTAACATCCCTTGCCCTCAGGCAATGTGATCTGTTTGGCGAATTCCCAGTGAAAATTTTCAGTCCACAAAACTCAGAAGTTCTTAGTGTGAGATACAACCAAGATCTCACTGGATATTTGCCCAAATTTAATAGAAGTAGTCCTCTCATCTCACTGAGAGTTGGGTTTACTATGTTTTTCGGAACAATACCTTCTTCGATTGAAAAGCTTAATTCATTGCAAGAGTTGGATGTCGCTCAATGCAATTTTTCAAACTCGTTGGTTCCTACTGCACTTGGCAATCTTAGACAGCTCACTTACCTAGACATTTCAGCAAGCAGATTTGGAGGTCCAATTCCATCTTGGCTAGGTAACTTTACCAAACTAGTTTACCTAGATTTTGCTTATAATCAGTTAAGTGGTTCAATTCCAGCCTCATTTTCCAATCTCATCAATCTCGAGATCCTTTATCTACATGCAAATAACCTGAGTGGTGTAGTGGATTTTCAAATGTTTGAGAAGCAACAAAATCTGTACCAACTCCAATTGAGTTGGAACAATTTTGAATTTGTTGCTGAATCCAATATTATGAATGCAACTGTTCGACAGTTCACCATTCTGGGTTTGAGTTCATGCAATTTAAAAGAGGTCCCATATTTCCTAAGAAATCAGACAAAGTTGGAGCCGTTGGATATGGCAGTAAACCAACTCCATGGCGAGCTACCAAACTGGATGTGGAACATAGGCAAGGAAACTCTGTTATTCCTGGACATTTCTAGAAACTTAATTTCAGGAGAAATTCCAGCTGTCATACCCTGGGTTAAACTACAATGCTTGAGGCTTTCGTTCAACAGTTTTCAAGGACGATTACCGATCCCTCCATCATCCCTTCTAGAATATGGAGCGACCAACAACAAATTTACTGGAGAAATTTCACCATTGCTTTGCAATATGAGTTCTCTTCTGTACCTTGACTTGTCGAAAAATAACTTGAGTGGCACGTTTCCTCAGTGTCTCGGAAAATTTAGTGATGGTCTAATCATTTTACTTCTTGGAAGCAACTCTTTTCATGGCATGATCCCTCAATCATACAACAACAGAAGCAGTTTAAGGATGATTGACGTTAGTCATAACCAACTGCAAGGGCAATTACCGAGGTCATTGGCGAATTGTGTGATGCTTGAGTACCTGGTTCTGTCAAACAATCAATTTAGTGATGTTTTCCCCATTTGGTTGGGGACCCTTCCAGAGCTAAAACTTCTGGCAATGCGCCATAATCGGTTCAACGGTGTAATAGGACAGTCTAGAACAAATGTTGACTTCCCCAAGTTACGCATTCTTGATTTGTCTTACAACAATTTCACAGGTGAGATTCCACCTTTGTTTCCAGATATTACTGTAAACAAGTCAACATACATGTACGCAAATATATCCTATGACCTCAATGGTTTTTCTATTCTACAAAGTGTTGCTTACTCAATAACAATAGCAGTTAAAGGTTTAGATTTGTACTATTCAAAGATTCAAGAAGGCTTTGCAGCCATTGACATCTCAAGCAACAAATTTGAAGGTAAGATTCCAGAATTCATTGGGAACCTTAAGGAGCTTTGCTCACTCAATATGTCCAGAAATATTCTCACAGGTTCTATTCCATGATCCTTGGGGAACTTAAGAAATCTTGAATCGTTGGACCTTTCACAAAACAAGCTCTCAGGACAGATCCCCCAACAACTGACGAGGCTTACATTCCTTGGGAACTTTGATGTGTACCACAACAATCTCACAGGTCCTATACCGCAAGGTACCCAACTTACTTCATTTAATAGGACTTCATATGAGGGAAACCCAGGATTGTGTGGACATCCATTGTTGTGAATTAATGACTAACTCACTGCCCTTTTAAGATCTTGTTGTTGATGGACTTTAGACAAAGAACTCAATGATGGATGAGTCTTACACACACACACGCACAGAAATTAACCAAGCACAAATGACACAAGTGTTTATAGAGGTTCAGCAAATTGCCTACATCCTCTTTGGTGATCACCTTGAGAAATTTCACTAATGAAGATAGGTTACAACTTTGGTTTACAAAGGAAACCCCCTTAGAACACTACCCTCACAATCTGTTTCTCTCACACCCTTGCTCAACACCTTGATACACTTAGAGAACCCTCTTGCTCTCTCCCTTGGCTTTTCTGAAACTCTCTCAAGAAACTCTCCACACAAGTTTCCAGCTTTTGCCACTACATATTACACAACTTGTTTTCTCCTCTTGTGTTATCTTACTT